CCATTCCACTCCCCATCAGAGCACTTGATAGTCAACCATTAGGGTCCGGGTTTGTTCAGGAAGTTACTGCACCAGTCACCATGATTACCCAGGAGACTTATTGTGAGCAGATCACTTTTTTTAAATTATTGAGTCCCCTGCTTTCCCTGTGTTATTAGGTATACCTTGGTTAGCACTTTGCAACCCCACCTTCTCATGGCCGCAGAGGTTTCTCACTGGGTGGTCGCGAGTGTCAGGGTAGGTGTCTAAGTGTTTCCGTTGGTGCAACTACGGTGGAAGTCCAGACAGTACCTCCACCGTGCGCATTCCCCCCGAATACCTCGATTTGGTGAACGCATTTTCAAAAACGCAGGCTACCAAGTTACCACCTCATTGGGCGGGGGATTGCGCGATAAACCTCTGGGTAGACGCTGTACCTCCCAGGACCCCCTGTCGCAGGCTGAAACGGCGGCTATGGAAACATACGTCACTGAGTCCCTCGCCAGGAGTATATACGTCCCTCCACTTCACCCGCCTCCTCGAGTTTCTTCTTTGTGAAGAAGAAAGACGGCGGTCTGCGCCCGTGCATTGATTATCGACCACTGAAAAAGAAGACGATCAGATTTAGTTATCCTCTCCCCCTCATTCCGTCAGTGATCGAGTCAATGCATGGGGCACGCTTCTTCACCAAATTAGATCTCAGGAGTGCGTACAACCTGGTGCGTATCCGAGAGGGGGATGAGTGGAAGACAGCATTCAGCACAACCACGGGGCATTATGAATACCTGGTGATAACCTGCGGTTTGATGAATGCTCCATCCGTCTTCCAGTCCTTTGTGAACGAGGTGTTTTTGGACATGCTTGTTCACAGTGTAGTGGTCTACATCGATGACATTCTGGTGTATTCCGCTACGCGCGCCGAGCATGTGTCCCTGGTTCGCAAAGTGCTGGCCTGACTGTTGAAAAATGACCTTTATGCCAAGGCAGAGAAGTGTATATTTTTCCAGTAGTCCGTCTCCTTCCTTGGATACCGCATTACCACCTCAGGTGTGGAGATGGAGGGAGATCGCATTTCAGCCGTGAGTAATTGGCTGACTCCAACCACGGTTAAGGAGGTGCAACGCTTCCTTGGCTTCGCCAACTACTATCGGTGGTTTATCCGGGGCTTTGGCATGGTTGCAGCTCCCATTACATCCCTGTTGAAGGGTGGGCCGTCCCGGCTCCGCTGGTCTGCTGAGGCTGACCTGGCCTTCAGCAAACTGCGGGGTGTGTTCACCTCAGCCCCGGTACAGGCCCACCCCGACCCATCAATACCGTTCGTAGTGGAGGTGGATGCGTCCGAGGTAGGGATAGGCGCTGTCCTGTCTCAACGTTCGGGCACGCCACCCAAGCTCCGCCCCTGTGCCTTCTTCTCTAAGAAGCTCAGCCCAGCGGAGCAGAACTACGACGTTGGTGATCGGGAGCTGTTGGCTGTGGTCCGAGCCTTGACCGAGTGGAGGCATTGGCTCGAAGGGGCGAAACACCCTTTCCTCATCTGGACGGACCACCGTAACCTGGAGTACAATCGGGCAGCGAGGAGGCTGAATCCTCGCCAAGCCAGGTGGGCCCTATTCTTCACCCGGTTCGATTTTACACTGTCATACATCCCGGGTATGAAGAACGTGAAGGCAGACGCATTGTCACGGCTGTATGACACAGAGGAGAGGCCCAGAGACAACACCCCATAGTCCCGGCCTCCTGCATTGTGGCACCGGTAGTATGGGCGATGGACGCGGATTTAGAGCAGGCATTACTTACAGATCCATCTCCACCTCAGTGTCCAGCTGGGCTGCGGTATGTGCCTGCTCTTATCCGTGATCATCTGGTCTACTGGGCACACACGTCACCCTCCTATGGTCACCCAGGTATCGATCGTACAGTGCGCTGCCTGACCGTAAAGTACAGGTGGCCTACCTTGGCTAAGGACGTGAGGGTGTATGTCTCCTCCTGCTCGGTGTGGGCCCAGAGTAAGGCACCTAGGCACCTCCCAGCGGGTAAGTTACAACCTTTACCAGTTCCACAACGACTATGGTCTCACCTAAGTGTTGATTTCCTGACTGATCTTCCCCTCTCCCAAGGTAACACCACCATCCTGGTCGCTGTGGACCGCTTTTCCAAGGCCTGCCGCCTCCTTCCTCTGCCCGGTCTCCCCACGGCTCTGCAAACTGTGGAGGCCCTGTTTACACACGTCTTCCAGCACTACGGGGTACCAGAGGATATAGTGTCTGACCGAGGTCCCCAGTTCACATCCAAGGTCTGGAAGGCGTTCACATCCAAACGTCTGGGGGTCTCGGTCAGCCTGACCCCTGGGTTCCACCCCGAGTCAAATGGGCAGGTGGAACAGGTAAATTAGGATGTGGGTAGGTTCCTGCGGTCCTACTGCCAGGACCAGCCGTGGGAGTGGTCGATGTTCTTTCCATGGGCAGAATATGCCCAGAACTCTCTCCGCCACTCCTCTACTAACCTAACGCCAATGTGTTTTAGGTTACCAACCGGTTCTGGCACCGTGGCACCAGAGCCAGACCGAGGCTCCTGCGGTGGATGACTGGTTTCAGCGCGCGGAGGAGACGTGGGACGCTGCCCACGTTCACCTCCAACGCGCCGTCCATCGTCAGAAGGCCAACGCTGACCGCCACCGCAGTGAGGCCCCGGTCTTTGTACCGGGGGATCGGGTCTGGCTCTCGACCCTGAATCTGCCCCTCCGCTTGCCCTGCCGGAAGCTGAACCCTTGGTTTGTGAGGCCGTTCAAAGTCCTGAGGAGAATCAACGAGGTCACCTATAGGTTATTACTTCCCCCTGATTACTGTATTAACCCCTCGTTTCATGTGTCTCTCCTCAGGCCGGTGGTGGCTGGTCCGCTCCAGGAGTCTGAGGTGTGGGAGGTCCCTCCACCTCCTCTGGACATTGAGGGGGCCCCGGCGTACTCTGTCAGTTCCATCCTGGATTCGAGGCGTCGGGTGGTGGGCCTTCAGTACCTCGTGGAGTGGGAGGGGTACGGTCCGGAGGAACAGTGCTGGGTCCCGGTGAGGGATATCCTCGATACCTCCCTGTTGCGGGATTTCCACCGTCGCCATCCGGCTCGTCCTGCTCCGTGTCCTCCTGGCCGTCCCCGAGGCCGGGGTCGGCGTGCTGCTGGAGCTGCACGTCAAGGGTGGGGTACTGTCACGACTTCCGCCGAGGCTGCCTCCCCTCCTTGTTCGGGCAGGCTTCAGTGTTCGTCGTCACCGGCTTACTAGCCACTGCCGCTCCATATATCATCATTACATTTGTCTTGTCTTGTCAATTACACACACCTGGTTCATATCCCCTCATTAGTCTGTGTATAAGTGTTCCCTCTGCCCCCTTGTCCTTGTGGGTGATTGTTTTACGTGAATTGAGTGTAGCTCGGCGGAGCTACTCGTACCTTGTATTGCCGGGGTAGATTGTTCCCCTGTGCCTGTATTTTGTTGTCGCTATCCAGCGCAACTGTGTACGACGGAATAAACTCTGTATTCGGTGAATTACCCTCCTGCGCCTGACTCCTTCTAATCACACTCATCACAGCTGCTCAGTGCAGCTGAGGTGGTGTGTGTGTATTTTTTAAGATAGAGGACCCGGCAGCCAATTTAGATGGTGTGGATCAGCAACATCCTAAACGAACCTACCCTCACCTGGCATAAACCATTTACATTACATTGTTAATGAACAGTTATAATACACTTTAACAGCAATAATAGGCCTATTGCACACTTTACTTTATAATGGCCGATACTTAACTTGTTAATGAAAACAAAGGCATGATAAGCATAAACATTTGCGTTTCTGATAAACAATGAAAACACCCCATGAAACGGGAGAAACCAATTACCAGGAGGCGTGTACATACAATGCTAAACATTTCTAAATAAATGATAAAAGTAACCAGACTGCCATTTGTTTGATGGGACTAGCGATACTATTTTAGCAAGCAATGTTTGTACCAAACAATCAGTCCGTTTGTTTGGTGAGAATTGGAGGGAAATTCCCGACGTCACGTGACTCATATTCACAGTTTATGTCTGTGTTCGTGTGTGCCTGACTGTGTCTGAAAACCATAAATAAAAATGAATGTTATTGGTATTCTAAATCTGTGGTTTCATTTAATCCTTAAATTGCTTGAAGCGTTTCAGGTGTACAGCTTTGAGGAGCTGGTTCTCTTGACTAAGGGCTTTGATCTGTCTACCCTCTGCCTTGTTTGTAGTCTGTTTACCAGTGTGGTCGGTGGCAGACCAGACCAGTGGGATGCAGATGTTTTAGGGGTTGAAGTCATTCCCGTCCGTGGCGTAATGCTGCTCACAGAGCTCAGGTAGAGGAGGTCTGAAAGGGCAGGCATGTGCCTGGTCCACAGCTCTCACATGAGCTCAATTTCTCCCCCTCACACTGCTGCTGTTTGTAATTAGACCAAATCAAATGCTCACAGCACAAACAGCCAGAAGTGTGATCACTTTGTTCTTCCACCAGATGTTTTATACTTCCTCCAACACTGTTTAACACTCGGGCTGATGCCCACCACGCACGCACACACACACACACACACACACACACACACACACACACACACACACACACACACACACACACACACACACACACACACACGCACACACACGCACACACACGCACTCACACACACACACACTCACGAACACACACGTGCAGCCGGATCCAAAGCGAAATCATGAGTGTTATTCACCCATTTCCTGGACGCTTTATTTTCTCTTAATCAGCAGGTTTAGGTTTCACCTAAGTTGATACCACAAAGTATAAACACATATACCCTATGATATGTATGACACACACACACACATGAACACACTCTCTCACACACACACACACACACACAGTGAATTTCTGTCGTCACTGAATGGAACATTCGATTATTTTGGGGGGAAGTGGTGTTGGCTCCGTCCCAGCCTAGCCAGGCAGCAGGGCCAGAGATTGTGACTGTCTGTGGCCCGTTAAGAATGCAGCTCTTCTCCAGTGCAGGGCTGCTCCTGCTCACCCAGGTCTCTGTGTGTCGCTGTGCTCCAGGGGCCAACCTCACGTCCAACCTGGACGTCAAGATTGTCTTCACTCCCATGGTGTGTTGGAGGGTGTGCATCCAGGAATTGGGTGAATAACACTCATGATTTCCCTTTGGATCCAGATGCACGTGTGTGTGTGTTCGTGTGTGCGTGTGTGTGTGTGTGTGCGTGCGTGTGTGAGTGCGTGGTGGGCATCAGCCCGACTGTTAAACAGTGTTGGAGGAAGTATAAAAAATCTGGTGGAAGAACAAAGCGATCACACTTCTGGCTGTTTGTGCTGTGAGCATTTGATTTGGTCTGGTCGTATATGACAAAATTCCTTTTATACTAAACAGAATCTTCTATTAATTAGCCATGCACATGCTGCTCTGACCTACAACAGATGTGAGTCAGTGGATTACTATAGCGCCTAAGTACGATATAATATTCTTGATTCAATTAAAGCAAAATATGTAAAAACATATGGAATCTCATCTATAAAATCAATTAAGTAATGCTATGACCTAAGACAGACAAAATGCTATGACCTAAGACAGATATAATGCTATGACCTAAGACAGATATAATGCTATGACCTAAGACAGACATAATGCTATGACCTAAGACTGACATAATGCTATGACCTAAGACAGACATAATGCTATGACCTAAGACAGACATAATGCTATGACCTAAGACAGACATAATGCTATGACCTAAGACAGACATAATGCTATGACCTAAGACAGATATAATGCTATGACCTAAGACAGACATAATGATATGACCTAAGACAGACATAATGCTATGACCTAAGACAGACATAATGCTATGACCTAAGATAGACATAATGCTATGACCTAAGACAGACATAATGATATGACCTAAGACAGACATAATGCTATGACCTAAGACAGACATAATGCTATGACCTAAGACAGACATAATGCTATGACCTAAGACAGACATAATGCTATGTTTGTCTTTCACACTCTCAGAAATACAGTACGATATTATGTTTAACATGTTGACCATGTGTAAATGGATTATATGCTGGTGTTCAGTATGTTGTTGGTGTATGTTTAGTGACTGGTGTTGAGAGAGAGGTTTATAGGATCTGGTGTCGTCTGTCTCGTTACCAGGACCCAAGTGAGGCGAGGACCAGCCGACTCTTCGTCTCCCCAGCGGACTGGGACGTCTCGCACAGTCAAACGATACCCATCATCCACTGGCTCCATCATCTCCAACTCCCTGCCCAATGGGAACGGACATTACAATGGGAATGGTCGTAACGGCCACAGACCCATCACCAATGGCCACAACAACAGACAAGTCAACAATGTAGTGGCGCCAGCAGGTAATGACCAGAAAAAGAAAAAAAAGTTTCACCTAAGTTGATACCTCTGTTCTATATTTCTTTATTACCCTGCTTTGTAACAAATATAAACACATATACCCTATGATATGTATGACACATACACACACACTCACACAGTGAATTTCTGTCATCACTAAATGGAACATTAGATTTTTTTTGGGGGGGGAGTGGTGTTGGCTCCGTCCCAGGCTAACCAGGCAGCAGGGCCAGAGATTGTGACTGTCTGTGGCCCGTTAAGAATGCAGCTCTTCTCCAGTGCAGCGCTGCTCCTGCTCACCCAGGTCTCTGTGTGTCGCTGTGCTCCAGGGGCCAACCTCACGTCCAACCTGGACCGCATCAAGATTGTCTTCACCCCCATGGTGTGTCGGAGGGTGTGCAGCGGCGGCCACTGCTACAACAGCTGTGAGAAGGGTGACATCACCACCGTCTACAGTGAGAACCAGCAGCAGCACCAGCCACCCAAGACCCAGGGCTTCAGACTCTGTGAGTCTTTTTCACTCCCTCCCCCTTTTTCTTCTCTCCCTCCCCTTCACCCTCTCTCTCTCTCTCTCTCTCTCACCCTCTCCCTCTCCCTCCCGCTCTCACTCTCTCCCTCTCTCTCCCTCCCGCTCTCTTGCTCTCACTCTCTCCCTCTCTCTCGCTCTCTCTCTTGCTCTCTCTCCCTCTCGCTCTCTCTCTCTCTCGCTCTCAAATCAAATCAAATTTTATTGGCCACATGCGCTGAATACAACAGGTGCAGACATTACAGTGAAATGCTTACTTACAGCCCTTAACCAACAGTGCATTTATTTTTAATAAAAAAGTAGAATAAAACAAAAAGTGTTGAGAAAAAAAGAGCAAAGTAAAATAAAATAACAGTAGGGAGGCTATATATACAGGGGGGTACCGGTGCAGAGTCAATGTGTGGGTGCACCGGCTAGTTGAGGTAGTTGAAGTAATATGTACATGTGGGTTAAAGTGACTATGCATAAATAATTAACAGAGTAGCAGCAGCGTAAAAAGATGGGGTGGGGGGTGCAGTGCAAATAGTCCGGGTAGCCATGATTAGCTGTTCAGGAGTCTTATGGCTTGGGGGTAGAAGCTGTTGAGAAGTCTTTTGGAACTAGACTTGGCACTCTGGTACCGCTTGCCATGCGGTAGCAGAGAGAACAGTCTATGACTAGGGTGGATGGAGACTTTGACAATTTTGAGGGCCTTCCTCTGACACCGCCTGGTATAGAGGTCCTGGATGGCAGGAAGCTTGGCCCCAGTGATGTACTGGGCCGTACGCACTACCCTCTGTAGTGCCTTGCGGTCGGAGGCCAAGCAGTTGCCATACCAGGCGGTGATGCAACCAGTCAGGATGCTCTCGATGGTGCAGCTGTAGAATTTTGCAGCTGTAGAATCTGAGGACCCATACCAAATCTTTTCAGTCTCCTGAGGGGGAATAGGCTTTGTCGTGCTCTCTTCACGACTGTCTTGGTGTGTTTGGACCATGATAGTTTGTTGGTGATGTGGACACCAAGGAACTTGAAGCTCTCAACCTGTTCCAGTACAGCCCCGTCGATGAGAATGGGGGCGTGCTCAGTCCTCTTTTTTTTCCTGTAGTCCACGATCATCTCCTTTGTCTTGGTCACGTTGAGAGAGAGGTTGTTATCCTGGCACCACACGGCCAGGTCTCTGACCTCCTCCCTATAGGCTGTCTCGTCGTTGTCGGTGATCAGGCCTACCACTGTTGTGTCGTCGGCAAACTTAATGATGGTGTTGGAGTCGTGCCTGGCCATGCAGTCATGGGTGAACAGGGAGTACAGGAGGGGACTGAGCACGCACCCCTGAGGGGCCCCCGTGTTGAGGATCAGTGTGGCAGATGTGTTGTTACCTACCCTTACCACCTGGGGGCGGCCCATCAGGAAGTCCAGAATCCAGTTGCAGAGGGAGGTGTTTAGTCCCAGGATCCTTAGCTTAGTGATGAGCTTTGAGGGCACTATGGTGTTGAATGCTGAGCTGTAGTCAATGAATAGCATTCTCACGTAGGTGTTCCTCTTGTCCAGGTGGGAAAGGGCAGTGTGGAGTGCAATAGAGATTGCATCATATGTGGATCTGTTGGGGCGGTATGCAAATTGGAGTGGGTCTAGGGTTTCTGGGATAATGGTGTTGATGTGAGCCATGATCAGCCTTTCAAAGCACTTCATGGCTACAGATATCAGTGCTACAGGTCGGTAGTCATTTAGGGAGGTTATCTTAGAGTCCTTGGGCACGGGGACTATGGTGGTCTGCTTGAAACATGTTGGTATTACAGACTCGGTCAGGGACATGTTGAAAATGTCAGTGAAGACACTTGCCAGTTGGTCAGCACATGCTCGGAGTACACGTCCTGGTAATCCGTCTGGCCCTGCGGCCTTGTGAATGTTGACCTGCTTAAAAGTCTTACTCACATCGGCTACGGAGAGCGTGATCACATAGTCATCCGGAACAGCTGGTGCTCTCATGCATGCTTCAGTGTTGCTTGCCTCGAAGCGAGCATAGAAGTGGTTTAGCTCGTCTGGAAGTCTTGTGTCACTGGGCAGCTCGCGGCTGTGCTTCCCTTTGTAGTCTGTAATAGTTTTCAAGCCCTGCCACATCCGGTGTAGTACGATTCAATCTTAGTCCTGTATTGACTCTTTGCCTGTTTGATCGTTCGTCGGAGGGCATAGCGGGATTTCTTATAAGCGTCCGGGTTAGAGTCCTGCTCCTTGGAAAGCGGCAGCTCTACCCTTTAGCTCAGTGCGGATGTTTCCTGTAATCCATGGCTTCTGGTTGGGGAATGTACATACGGTCACTGTGGGGACGACATCATCGATGCACTTATTGATGAAGCCAGTGACTGATGTGGTGTACTCCTCAATGCTATCTGAAGAATCCCGGAACATGTTCCAGTCTGTGCTAGCAAAACAGTCCTGTAGCTTAGCATCTGTTTCATCTGACCACTTTTTTATTAACCGAGTCACTGGTGCTTCCTGCTTTAGTTTTTGCTTATAAGCAGGAATCAGGAGGATAGAGTTATGGTCAGATTTGCCAAATGGAGGGCGAGGGAGAGCTTTGTATGCGTCTCTGTGTGTGGAGTAAAGGTGGTCTAGAGTTTTTTTCCTCTGGTTGCACATTTCACATGCTGGTAGAAATTAGGTAGAACTGATTTAAGTTTCCCTGCATTAAAGTCCTCGGCCACTAGGAGCGCTGCCTCTGGATGAGCGTTTTCCTGTTGACTTATGGCCTTATACAGCTCATTCAGTGCAATCTTAATGCCAGCATTGGTTTGTGGTGGTAAATAGACAGCTATGAAAAATATAGATGAAAACTCTCTTGGTAAATAGTGTGGTCTACAGCTTATCATAAGATACTCTACCTCAGGCGAGCAAAACCTCGAGACTTCCTTAGTATTTTATTTTGTGCACCAGCTGTTGTTTACAAATATACACAGACCGCCCCCCTTGTCTTACCGGAGTCAGCCGTTCTATCCTGCCGATGTAGCGTATAGCCCGCTAGCTGTATGTTGTCCATGTCGTCGTTCAGCCACGACTCGGTGAAACATAAGATATTACAGTTTTTAATGTTCCGTTGGTAGGAAAACCGTAATCTTAAGTCATCCAATTTATTCTCAAATGATTGAAGATTGGCTAATAGGATTGATGGGAGCGGCAGTTTACTCACTCGCCGTCGGATCCTTACAAGGCACCCGACCTACGTCCACGATATCTCCGTCTCTTCCTCATGCGAATGACGGGGATTTGGACCTTGTCGGGTGTCTGTAGGATATCCTTCGCGGCCGCCTCATTGAAGAAAAAATCTTCGTCCAATACGAGGTGAGTAATCGCTGTCCTGATATCCAGAAGCTCTTTTTGGTTATAAGAGACGATGGCAGAAACATTATGTACAAAATAAATTACAAATAACGCGGAAAAACACACATACTAGTACAATTGGTTAGAGGGCTGTAAAACGGCAGCCTTCTTCTCCGGTGCCATTATATGCCATCTCACTCTCGCTATGTCTGAATGTAGTCCAGGGTTGAGAGGGGGAAAGAGGCCGGGAGCAGTGTGAAAGAGAGAGAGCGAGAGGGGCAGAGGGGAGAGAGCAGGTCTCCCTGCCCATTGTGTCGCAGGGCTCAGTGGAGGAGGTTAAGCTAACCACACACGTGGAAGCACAGCTCTCACGCTCCCAACACTTAGCCCGGTCTTTTTGTGGTTTACACCTCTCTCTCAGCGCCACGGTTAACCATTTAACGTGCTCACTGGGCGTGATAGAGAGGGAGTAGCAGCGTGAACAGGATTTTATAGGGATTACATTAAAGCTACCATATATCCGCAGGCTTTGCTATAAACTCACACAGAACAATACCCAATGCTTGGGGGTCCGGCGCTGTTTCCATAGTGTTCCCCTCCGCCCATATCAAACACACGCCGCCGACACTTCACGTCATTTAGCAGACACTCTTATCCAGAGCGACTTACAGTTAGTGAGTGCATACATTATTATATATATTTTTTTTCATATTGGCCCCCCGTGGGAAACGAACCCACAACCCTGGCGTTGCAAACGCCATGCTCTACATCCCTGCCTGTCATTCCCTCCCCTACCCTGGGCATGGGTCTCCCGGTGGCGGCCGGCTACGTCAGAGCCTGGATTCGAACCAGGATCTCTAGTGGCACAGCTAGCACTGCGATGCAGTGCCTTAGACCACTGCGCCACTCGGGAGGTACACTTAACACACTAAGCTCCTCATGGGAGGAACTGGCTGAGTCATGAATAGATAAAAATATTGTTTTGCTCCCATTAATAGGTTTTTGGAAAATGGCTTGGCACTTCAGTGGCTTGGCAGAGCCGTTGCACAACAATGCATTCCTGGCACTTCTGGGTGATCCTGAGAAGTAGTTTGTTTTATATGTTCGATTTTATTTGAAAGAAATCTCTGATCATTAAAACATCTGTAAAAAGACTCTGTTAAAGGAAATTGCTCGACATCCAAGCTGGCATTTTGTTGTTGCTGAAGTGCGTGTTCCTCAAGGAATGTCAAGTGGACAGCGTACAGTTATGTCATGTTGTTGTAAAAACTATGTGGATAACATCATTCCACTGTTGGGCTCTCTGGATTCACAACATTGAACAGTTATTCTAAACCCTGATATTACTGGGACGAGAGACTTAGAGAAGCCATTTAACGATGCATTTCAAAGATGGTGGTGGTGGTGTGTGGCACAGGCATGAATTGTATCTTCCTGTCTGTCTGGTAGGTAGAGGTTGGGTAAGAGAAAAAGTCAGGTTGTTGCCTAGGAATAATTCCTGCCCCATGCTGAGGTGGGATAGGGCTAGGCTGAAGCTGGGACTGAGACTGTGTCTGCGGTGAGACTGAGACAGCGACTGTGTCTGCGGTAAGGCTAAGACTGAGGCTGCTCCCCAGATTGGGAGGAATTAATGTCCCTTTGTAGCTGATAATTTAGCTAGCATGTGTAATCACAGGGGGGCTTCATGTGGGCCTGAACACTGGCTCCATATCCCCCATCTCTCCACCACTGTCTTTCTTTCTCTCTTTCTCTGTATTTCTTTCTCTCTTTCCTTCTCTCTCTCTCTCTATCTCTCTTTTTCCACCACTTTCTTTCCAGACAGACTGTCGTGCCTCAGCCCTCCCTGCCCAGGTCACACCCTCTGTCTGTCTGTCTGTCTGTCTGTCTGTCTGTCTGTCTGTCTGTCTGTCTGTCTCTGTCTCTGTCTGTGTGGGACAGGGGTTATAGCGCCACAACATGATTGGGTCCAGAGCTTTTAACTATATGTTTCCACAGCTACAACTCTCTTTCATCTGCTGTTAGAGACCTGCCTCATCACAGGGGTCAGGATAACGGAGTACAAATATGCAGCATAAAAATAATCAATGTCATTTTTGGTACTGTTGGACCAAAAAGGGCATCAACCTTTTTTATTTTGGGCACTTAGAAGATTCCCTTTTATTTGGGCCAGGCTGTTATCGATTTTGTATTTTACGGCCTTTGAAGTTTGAGTGAGTTGAGGTTAAGGTTTAAGCTCCTTTGTAGATCCTGGTATGGAGCAGTATGTAGGACACTGGCACATCTGCCAAGGGATAAACAGAATGAAAAGGCTATGAACGCAACCTGTCAAACACCAGCTTCTTTGCTCCTTTGAAATTCTATCCAAACTGTTATTTTGGTAGGTGAGAGTTTCATTTTCAACAGAGAAAGTATCAAATATGGGAGTGCATACATTCATTATTTTCTTGAAACCTGGGTGTTTAAATGAGGCACAAACACACATCATGGGACAGCTGAGAAAGGTTTGGCTTAATAGGGAGGGGCGATATTAGTAGTGTGTGTTGCCCTCAGGGTGAAGTTTGAACTTCATAAACCCATGTCAAATGAGGTGTCTGGTAGTGAATGTGGTGATGGTTATGTGAACATTACATTAAAGAAAACAAGTTGTCCACATGAAGTCTCCGTACACACTTTCTATTAGAACTATCCCTCCTGCTTCTCATTATCTGTATGGACCCCAGCATAAATCAACTCAATTAAAGCTGGCGGTTCCTTACACTAACTAACCTTTCTCTCCGGTAATGACCATGGTCTCTCTTGCTTTCTCCTCCCCTCCCCTCTCTCTCTCTCTCTCTCTCTCTCTCTCTCTCCTGCAGTCTTCTGTCAGATCCCCTGTCTGAATGGTGGGCGCTGCATTGGCAGGGACCAGTGCTGGTGCCCATTAAACTCCACAGGGAAGTTCTGCCACCTCCCGGCCCCCCCTTCTGCCAGACCCACCCTCAGCCGGAAGGACGGCAGCCTGGCTGGACTTAACTCCTCCTCCCACTCCATGTACACCCTGCCGCTGTCTAATCAACAAGGTAATCACCTAGCCGTCTGTGTGTCGAGCTCGATGGAACACATGGACACAGTCTCTGGTTTACTGCTGTCCGTTATAAATTTAATTAATCATGCCCTCTCAACTGTTCTGGTTCTGTTTGAACTAACTCAGTTTTATTTGTTGATGTGCAACGGCCCAGTTAGTAACTGTGCTGTACTCTACCTTTGCGAACCAGCAGTGAATGGGTTCTCAGTAGAATATGTAATGGGGTGTTTTGGGGAATTCCTCATATTGTTCACACAGTGCTCCCTCTATCAACAGAAAACCCTATAGTGAATTAGAAACAGAGCATGCCCTAACCAGTGCCTTGAAGAGCAGCTAAAATAAGCATCCGGGGGGGGGGGGTGCTGTGGGATTATTTAAGGGTAGGGTTTCATATGTTTTCGGAAGATGGGCAGGGACTCTGCTGTCCTAGTTTCAGGGGGAAGCTGGTTCCACCATTGGGGTGACAGAGAAGCTCTTGGACTGGACTGGGTGGGAGGGCCAAGAGACCAGAGGTGGCAGAACGGAGTACTCGGGTTGGGGTGTAGGGTTTGAGCAGAGCCTGAAGGTAGGGAGGGGCAGTTCCCCTTGCTGCGCCGTAGGTCTTGTAGTGGATGCGAGCTTCGACTGGAAGCCAGTGGTGTGTGCAGAGGAGCGGGGTGACATGGGAGAATTATGGAAGGTTGAACACCAGGCGGGCTGCAGCGTTCTGGATAAGTTGCAGGGGTTTGATGGCACATGCGGGAAGCCCAGCCAACAGCGAGTTGCAATAGTTCAGACGGTAGATGACAAGTGCCTGGATTAGGTCCTACTCTACTTCCTGTGTGAAGTAGGGTCGTACTCTACGGATGTTGTAGAGCATGAACCTGCAGGAGCGAGTCACTGCTTTGATGTTTGCATAGAACGACAGGGTGTTGTCCAGGGTCACGCCAAGGTTCTTTGCACTCTGGGAGGGGGATACCATGAAGTTGTCAACTGTGATGGAGAGGTCTTGGAGCGGGCAGGCCTTCCCCGGGAGGAAGAGCAGCTCCCTCTTGTTGCGGTTGAGCTTGAGCTGGTGGGCCGACATTCAAGCTGAGATATCTGCCAGGCACGCAGAGATGCGTGTCGCCATCTGGGTGTCAGAAGGGAGGAAGGAGAAAAGTAGTTGAGTGTCATCCGCATAGCAATGATAGGAGAGAACATGTGAGAATATTACGGAGCCGAGTGACTTGGTGTATAGAAAGAAGAGGAGAGGGCCTAGAACCGAGCCCAGGGGAACACCAGTAGTGAGAGTATGTGGTGCAGACACAGATCCTCTCCACGTCACCTGGTAGGAGCGGACTTCCAGGGAGATGCATTCCAAGAGTGTGCAGGGCCTGTGACGCCCAGCTCTGAGAGGGTGGAGAGGAGAATCTGATGGTTCACGGTATCGAAGGCAGCGGATATATCTAGGAGGATGAGAAGAAAGGAAAGAGAGTCAGCTTTGACTGATTAGGGTCAAGAAGATCGTTCTGAGAGAGATAGCGAGAGAGTTGGTCAGAGACAGCATGCTCAAGTGTTTTGGAATGAAAAGAAAGAAGGGATACCGGTCCGTAGTTTTTGACGTCAGAGGGGTCGAGTGTTGGTTTCTTGAGGAGGGGAGCTACTCTGACCATTTTGAAGTCAGAGGGGACGCAGCCAGTGGTCAGGGATGAGTTGATGAGGGAAGTGAGGAATGGGAGAATGTCTCCAGAGACAGTCTGGAGACGGGAGGAGGGGATGGGGTCCAGCGGGCAGGTTGTCGGGCGGCCGGACCTCACCAGTCACATGATTTCATCTGTAGAGAGAGGAGAGAAAGAGGTCAAGGCGTAGAGTTCACCGTTTTTTTTTTACATGACATAAAAAACGTAAGCCTATGCAACATTAACCTATTAAAAACAGTTATGTAGCAATTAGGTTTGTGAAGTAGGCTATAGGCCCAATACATTATCACCACATATTGGCTTTGCTTGAATTTCCCTGCCAATGCATTGTTGTTATGACAATAGTTTTTAAATGATATAAAAAAATGTGAGTTAGGCAATATGATCACTCCGGTAATAGATCATTTTCTTTTTCTTTTTCTTTTACTGGCTGATGGTGCCTGCATCTGATGGTCAGTCTCAGCGGAGCGAGAGAGAAGCAGACGGAGGATCCGCCTCTCAACGTCCTTCTTCCGCTGACACTGACCAAAAAGGGACACCGTCTTCCAGCTGATGGCGAAACTCGAGTCGCACCGCATTAGTTCTGCCTCATGCACAAATTCATGTTGTTACTCCTATGAACAGAGAAATTGAAATATTCCTCAAAAAAGAAAAAAGACCCAAGCCGCTAATAATAACAACGCAAGTCTATCGATACACTTTCCTACTCATTCATTACAGCCTCAGTGCTTGTTGTAGCGCTGAGTGGAATTATGAAGAACACACATTTTATGGCTTATAAAAGTGTTGAATACAAAGTGTTGACAGTGCTGAGTAAGAACTTAAACATGAACTCACTCATAAAAACAGCAGCTCCTTGCTGTATTCGCTGACAGTCTGTCTCTAGTCATGGTTTGAAACGTTTTTAAATCTCACAGTATCAACTTTGCTGTAGCTTTCTTTTATGCCTGCTACGTTACTGCAGACACGATCATCTGAGCCATCTGATTGGCCAGCGGTAGGCCTATAGTGCACTTGATTTGCTCTCCGGGCCCGCCGGGAAGGCAGAGTTTGACCCTTCAGACACATGAAATGGTTCAAACACCTGGTTGATGTGTTAACAATCATCTGCAAGTTATGAGCAGTCGGCAGCTCACACATCAAGTAGGCTACTGGGAAGACAGGCAGCACTTAAAGTCGATGGCCCTAGCTAGCAAAAAGACAGTACTAGACAACAACAGATTAAGACAAAAATTATACGTATTACTCCTGGAGATATCAGGAGTCCTTTAGCTATAGAATTAAGCACTTTAGTATGTTTTAAGTGCCCTTTAATTTGTACTTTATCTCCATATGCTAAGACCTGGCTTGGGCTAAAGAGGTTATTTACAGCCCTTTGGGAACACCCTTTGAGAAGCATTGAATTTCAGATTTCACTGCAAGGTTAGGTCCAGGACTATTCATCATGTTCTTTACCATGTCCATCCAGATTGGGCTCAAGGTGTTTCTGCTGGTGTGATGGTAGAGAGTTTTGCCTGACTAACTGTGCTGTGCGTTCTGTGTCCTGTCCAGCCTCTCTACACCCGTCCCTGGTGAATGTCCACATCCAGCACCCCCACGAGGCTGAGGTCCAGATCCACCAGGTAGCCCGGGTCAAGCCTGGCCAGAGACCTGCCACAGCTGAGGGGGGTCACTCTATACAGCAGCGCTCCCAACCTGGCCATGGCACCGGAAATGGGCATGGGCACTCCAATGGAAACGGTCATGGGCATGGGAATAGGCACGGAAACGGACACACCTTCGCCAACGGGAATGGTAGTAGCAACTCCAGACCCCACAGCCGGCAGAACGGATACGTGGGAAGGTGCTTCCAAGAGACCGTCGATGGACAGGTACAGTACGGTGCTCTGAGTGAAGTACACTGAACACAGTAAATTATAGTTGATGATGATCCTAGCTAGGGCTGTGGCGGTCATTACATTTTGTCAGCCGTTAACTGTCATGCAAATAACTACTGGTCTAATAAATGTATTTATTATAGCATACACCATCACAATAAATCCACTATTTATTTTAGGCAGGTCTAAAGAAACATGATATGAAGAAAATGTAGCCTATTTCAAAAGAACAGAATAGCATATGCGGAGTTGTCCTTATATTAGGCCCTGATCTGGCTATGCCATATAGCTGTGGGCTACACTAGTTCATTTAGCAGACAAGATTTGCTTAGAATTCCCGTACCATTATTTTATAGTAAGAAGAATACAATTGAACATAGCTGAATCAAATAAAAAGGATATTTTGCCAAAACAATTTTCGAGGGAGTGTGCACATGCTATTCTGTGTCGAGCGGTTAACAATGTGATAATTTGAAACAGGTCCTCCTATATGCTTAATTTATAATTATTTATGCAACTTTAATTGTGATACAAACCTTAGGCTATATGTTTTGATTTCTAATACATTCTAAGTCTGCATGATGCGACTCTAATGATGATTTGAAAAAAGTTAACTTTGCTCTGTTTCTTGTGCAGGCTGCACACACTTCATCAGTCTCTCATTCACAATTTGACAAGCACTTGATACTATTCCCACCCATCAGACTATTCTCGATTTTATCTGGTCTTTACATACTGTATAGCCTACTAATACAGTGCATTAGGAAAGTATTCAGACATTTACATTTTACATTTACGTCATTTAGCAGACGCTCTTATCCAGAGCGACTTACAAATTGGTGCATTCACCTTATAGCCAGTGGGATAACCACTTTACAATGTTTTGTATTTTTATTTTTTAAATTAAAAATTTTTTTTGGGGGGGGGGGTGGGTTGGAGTAAAGGGGGCCTAGACCTTTTCCACATTTTGTTACGTTACAGCCTTGTTCTAAAATTGATTAAATAGTTTTTTTTCTCTCATCAATCTACACACAATACCCCATAATGACAAAGCAAAAACAGGTTTTAGATTTTTTTGCAAATTTATGAAGAAAAAAAAACGGAAATATTACATTTACATAAGTATTCAGATCCTTTACTCAGTACTTTATTGAAGCACCTTTGGCAGCGATTACAGCTTTGAGTCTTCTTGGGAATGACGCTACAAGCTTGGCACACCTATATTTGGGGAGTTTCTCCCATTCTTCTCTGCAGATCCTCTCAAGCTCTGTCAGGTTGGATGGGGAGCATCGCTGCACAGCTATTTTCAGGTCTCTCCAGAGATGTTAGATCAGGTTCAAGTCCGGGCTCTGGCTGGGCCACTCAAGGACATTCAGAGACTTATCCCGAAGCCACTCCTGCGTTGTCTTGGCTGTGTGCTTAGGGTAGTTGTCCTAATGGAAGGTACACCTTCGCCCCAGTCTGAGGTCCTGAGCGCTCTGGAGCAGGTTTTTATCAAGGATCTCTTTGTACTTTGCTCCGTTCATCTTTCCCTTGATCCTGGCTAGTCTCCTTGTCCCTGCCGCTGATAAACATCCCCACAGCATGATGCTGCCACCACCATGCTTCACCGTAGGGATGATGCCAGGTTTCCTCCAGACGTGACGCTTGGCATTCAGGCCAAAGAGTTCAATCTTGGTTTCATCAGACCAGAGAATCTTGTTTCTCATGGTCTGAGTCGTTTAGGTGCCTTTTGGCAAGCTCCTAGCGGGCTGTCATGTGCCTTTTACTGAGGAGTGGCTTCCGTCTGGCCACTCTACCATAAAGGTCTGATTGGTGGAGTGCTGCAGAGATGGTTGTCCTTCTGGAAGGTTCTCCCATTGCCACAGAGGAACTCTAGAGCTCTCTCAGAGTGACCATCAGGTTCTTGGTCACCTCCCTGAGGCCAGCTCTAGTAAGAGTGTTGGTGGATCCAAACTTCTTCCATTTAAGAATGATGGAGGCCACTGTGTTCTTGGGGACCTTCAATGCTGCAGACATTTTTTGGTACCCTCCCCCAGATCTGTGCCTCGACACAATCCTGTCTCGGAGCTTTACGGACAATTCCTTCGACCTCATGGCTTGGTTTTTGCTTTGACATGCACTGTCAACTGTGGGACCTTATATAGACAGGTGTGTGCCTTTCCAAATCATGTCCAATCAACTTGTAGAAACATCTCAAGGATAATCAATGGAAAAAGGATGCACCAATGCTCAATTTCGAGTCTCATAGCAAAGGGTCTGAATACTTATGTAAATAAGGTATTTCTGTTTTATAAAAACCTGTTTTCTCTTTGTCATTAGGGGGTATTGTGTGTAGATTGATGAGGAATTTTATTTATTTAATCAATTTTAGAATAAGGCTGTAACGTAACAAAATGTGGAAAATTCAAGGGGTCTGAATACTTTCCGAGTTATTTTTGATTTAGAATGGCCCACAAAAATAACATTAAGGTTACGTTTTTAATATGCCAGGTAGGCTGCACCGGTTGTAATCCGGATTAATGTGCTTAATTTGGCGAATTGAGCAATAAATATAGCAGCACGAGAAAGCTGGGATCGTCTTTTAAATAGTGGCCTGTCAAAACTTTGTTTTCACATGCGATTGCGCAATGACTGGGCTTATAAGTACACGTTTCTGTGCCTATTGGCTACGCTAAGAGTTATTTGGCCACTTTAGTTGTGATACACACCTTATTTAAACATATAGGCCTATGGGCTAGGCTAAAAAGTCGCAAAATAATGCATGCTCTGTTTGTTGTCTGCATACACTGGGCATCATTCACAAGTGATAATATTCTCACTCATCAGAATATTTTCAATTTAATCTTGTCTTTACATATACTAAATAATATACAGTGCCTTCGGAAATTATTCAGACCCCTTTACTTTTTTCACATTTTGTTACGTTACAGCCTTGTTCTAAAATGGATTAAGTTAATACAAAATCCTCAGCAATCTACACACAATACTCCATAATGAAAAAACGAAAACAGGTGCATTTTACAAATTTATAAAAAATAGAAATCTGAAATACCTTATTTACATACGTATTCAGACCCTTTGCTATGAGACACGAAATTGAGCTCAGGTGCATCCTGTTTACATTGATCATCCTTGAGAGGATTCTACAACTTGATTGGAGTCCATCTGTGGTAAATTCAATTGATTGACAAGTCTCTGAATGTCCTTGAGTGGCCCAGCCAGAGCCTGGACTTGAACCCGATCGAACATCTAGGGAGAGACCTGAAAATAGCTGTGCAGCAACGCTCCCCATCCAACCTGACAGAGCTTGAGAGGATCTGCAGAGAAGAATGGGAGAAACTCCCCAAATACAGGTGTGCCAAGCTTGTAGCGTCATACCCAGGAAGACTCGAGGCTGTAATCGCTGCCAAAGGTGCTTCAACAAAGTACAGAGTAAAGGGTCTGAATACTTATGTAAATGTTATATTTCTGTTTTTTATTTTGTATACATTTGCAAAAATTTCTAGAAACATGTTTTTGCTTCGTCATTATGGGGTATTGTGTGTAGATCGATGAGGGAAAAAAAACGATGTAATCAATTTTAGAATAAGGCTGTAACCTAACAAAATGTGGAAAAAGTCAAGGGGTCTAAATACTTTCCGAAGGCACTGTATGTGTGAAATTAGTTTTGGTTTAGAATGGGACATTGTCATGCACCAGTCGGAACAAGAGCAGGGGGAAAAAAGACGTCATCTGTATGCACTTGAAAAGCGAATGGAGGACGCTTTTCCCGCGGTTCATTTTCATGCCAGCCAGCTAGGCTACTCTGGTGTAAAGCGAAGCAATGTGCTTAATATTAGGAAAGTTGAGAAATATGGCCTAGCCAACAGAAATCTGATGGGATCCTCCTCTTTTTAGTAGAGGCCATCAAAACTCTGTTTCCGCATGCAATTGCATAGCATAGCCAATAGAAATGTTGCATAACATTGGTTTATAAGAACACTTATTTCATTCCATGCATCAACCAGCTATGAGGAGCTGGCTCTCGCTGCACAACAGGTGATCCTATTCTGCTCAAACTCTGAATGCCAGAGCTCTAATGAAGTGTCTGATTAGATTTTCGATTGCATTTGCATTGATGTCAGAGTGATTAGAGGGACAGTAGAGTGCTGAGTACCAGGCCATTAGTGACTGGCCATTAGCAAGTTTGGTATGCTACTAATGACAATCAGCGGCATTATTAGCTGACTACTACAGGATGTTTGCCTAGTCTTTGAAGTGGAGACCAAGTTTGGCTTCCGTGTGTTTTACCGTCTGTCCCACAGGGCAGCATACATACCTTCCCTCCTCTGTCTGTCTGATAGAAGCTGTCTATGTTCTAATTTATTCTGCATCCAGGATTTATGAGTTCTAAACACATTGGTCATCTCATCTTCCCCTCCCAACACACACAGACGTGTTATAAGTTAGTTCTGAGTTAGGCCTGAAAGGAAGGACAAAGGAGGCTGAAATCCACTACACGTCTCAAACACAAGGCAAACTGCTACACCCACAGTGCATCTCCTTCACAGTCTCTCAAACACACAGAGTAAATAAAGAAAGAGCAGTGGTGGCCAGTGGAGGAAGAAATCAGAGGAAAGGCTCTTTGGAATGGAATGAATAGAAAGGTATCAAACACATGGAAACTATATGTTTGCGATACCGTTCCAGTCCAGCCATTACAATGAACCGTTCCTCAGATTTCTACCTCCACTGGCCACCACTGTTAATGAGAGTTCCTCACGGAGGTCCTGTACAGGCAGCATCTGTTGGCTAGGCTGTGAGAGATGCTGTTATTCCCCCCTTCTTCTGTGTTTCCAACCCTAACAGCAGTTTCCTCTGTAGAGCTGCTGCCAGGCCAGTGTTGGCCTATGTGTTATCTGCTGCTGGACACAGAGCAGAGGAGCAGTATCTTATTGCTTATTGGTTTTCCTCAAAGAAGATCTCTGTTTGGTCTTGACTGACTTTGCCAGTGCCCTAGTTAGGTGTTCCATAGCAATGTGTCCTTATCTTTTCTTCCCAAAGATCCATGAGGCACCATTTGCCAGGCAGTGAGGTTTGATAATGATCTCTCCAGAATTAGCCAAGCTCCTTAACGAGCCATGCCTATTCGTGGAACAGCCTGTTTATGTCCTATGCTGCTGCCTAACCAGTCTCAGATGTGTTCCGTTCAGCTCACTCTGTCCTCATTCCGATGGGAAGACTCACACACTACTACACACCCGCGCATAAACACACAACACACACACAATCCAATTAAACACACACAAACTTACACACTTAGACACACACATACATTTACATTTTAATCATTTAGCAGACACTCTATACACACACAAATACAGTCACGTTAAACAACATACTATCAAATGAAGTGGAAAAGGAAGGTGTCAGTGATGTGTCCTGTGTTGTGTGAGTGTGTTGAGATGTGTGTGTGTGTTGTCATTGCAGTGTGGGAAGCCTCTTCCTGGCCTGACCAAACAGGACGAATGCTGTGGAAGTGTGGGAGCCTCATGGGGCCTGAACAAGTGCACAGAGTGTCCAACCAAACCAAGTAAGTCCCTAGTTTACCCTCACATACTGAACACACTGAACCAGTGAACCTAGATCCTCCAGTGCTTTGCCTTGTGCTATATATTTGTTATGATGTGTTAATGTAGCTAAACAATGCCTTTTACGTCATTCATAAACACAATGTATCTCTGAGATTAACAGTCAATCACATTAACATGGGGTGATAATTCAGGATGATTACTGACTTGTGTATCCCAGATTAGGATTGTGCCTCGACTCCATTGGCATTAGGACTTACTTGTCGTCTCATTGTAAAATTAAGCTGTTTTTGCTTCTAGAAAAAAAACAAGGCACCAAATGAAAACACATTTAGCATGAATAACAGAGGCTAGCAGGAGTGCCTCCCAGCCTGTGGGCAGGCAGAGATAGAGGCTGGCTCTGCCTCTCCTACTCTAACTAAAAGAAGAGAATGAGCAGCCGTGGTCCCTGACCAAAGCTGCCTGGACTGTCGCTGCTGTGCGTTCCCTCATTGTGTTTGTAATAGAAGAGCCCCCCCCCCCCCCCCCCCCCCTCCCAAGGGCCCCCAAGTCCTGTTACTGGAGCTCTCCAAGGGGGTGTGTGATGGTTGGGAGGGACCGTCCCTGCCCTTCCCTGTTAATTCTATCAGGAAGAGGTCTGGCTGCGGTAGATGTCAATTGCCTGCACAGGGTGCTGTCATAGCCCTGCCCTGTTTAGTGTCTGTCTGTCTGCCAGAGCTCTAATCACGAGCAGACATCATCTCACTCAGGTCCATTCATCACGAACGCACATCTATTCTTCTCTTCTCTCTGTGCCAGAATCTCTCTTTCTCTCTCTCTCGCAAGTCCCCACATCAGCATCTCTTTTGGCTCCCAGATGTCTTCCTCTCCTCCGTCCTTTGTAGTGGAGAGAAACTGAACGATTCCTCAGTTCTTCTCATTTTGTAGTTGTTTAGGAGCAACTTGGGCCTCGGTTCCAGGTCACATGTAGAGTCGCTGGAGATGAGAGAATGAAAGACAAAAGAGGGAAAGATGAAGCCACATAGGTCCCATGATGATTGGTGTATACTTTGAAGGACTTTATAGGGAATACTTGACATTTCTTACCAGTCTTATTGTTCCCTGTGTAGAAATGATACTTTATAACTAAAACAAGTGGACAAGCATAAATTAAGAGTAATCATTTTGTCATGCCGTACATGTCTCTGGGACTGGTCAGGTCAGTCAGTTGAGGGCTTGATGACAAGTATCTATAAGGTAGTCATTTTGTCATGTAAGTCATTGCATACCTTAGAGAACTATTTATAACTTGTCAGAAACTGCAAAATGTTATTTGCACCCCATGACAAAATGTGTAGAATTGCAGGAAATAAGCTTTAAACGTGCAAAATGTTCTCTCCACCAACAAGAGGGGTGTGAACAGTTTGTGTCATGAACAGTGCTTGTGCCCATAGAAATAGACGTGGCATGTGTGCATGCATGCACAGGGGGGTGCAGGATGTTCCCCAATGCTGGAAGGGGTGCCCTGAGTGAAAAAGTTGGGGGACCCCTGGCTTAGACCACTCGTTCAGACCTACTGTTTCCAGAACCTTTTAATGTGTCTCCTCTGGTCAGCTCTAAGTTCCTGGATGTATCTCTCTGCTCCTTGTCTTTGTCTTCAGTCCTAACTCTGATTCCCACACCATTCCCACATCTTTCTCCTGTAGTTCTCCCTCTATCCGATGGCAAGGATTCACTGAACTCTCTGACTGATTCGGTAAGAGACATCCATCCAAGACACTGCCAGACTACATTGTTATTTTTGGTAGTTAAAGTATTATTATTGTTATATGGAGTGGAGAAAGCAGCGGTGCAGTGGGGAAACGAACGGGTGTGTGTTTTTGGGAGGGACGGAGGTTGACGTAATGGAGGTTATGACAGTGAGATGTGCCTGTCAGTCCCAGGCCTACACTGTGGAAGCCCCAGCCCTGTTCAGCCCTGTAGGATCGAATGCACTGTAAACCCACATGCTGCAAATTCCAGTGCGTTATGAACTCCAGTTAAAATAAGACCCTGGTCCACCTCTCCTCTCCTCTACCTTTGGTTCTTATGAGGCTGAGAGTGAGAGTGAGAGTGAGTGAGAGAGAGAGAGAGAGAGAGAGAAGAGAGAGAGAGAGAGAGAGAGAGAGAGAGGGAGAGAGAGAGTGAGAGATGAGAGAGAGAGATATGACTCTCTCTTCCTTGCTTCTCGATCTCTGAGCTCTCTCGTCTTCTCTCTCTCTTCTGAGTGAGTGAGTGAGTGAGTGAGTGAACGAGCGAGAGAGAGAAAGGGGGGAAAATTGCGCCGGACCTTGTTTAAATTTCAGGATTATGGGTTTGGAAAGGTTGAAGGGTGTCCTCTCACAGGATAGGAAAAGGAAGCAGTTAGAGCTGCTTGTCCCCCTGGACTGCAAGATGAAACCTGATTGGATGACGCAAGGCCAATGTGAGGAATGGAGTTGACAGCTAATTTGCTTTCAAAGTATATTAGGAAACATACAGTACCTAATAAAGTGAATCCAGCTCTTTGTAGATACAGTAGATCAGATCACTTAAGTGATAATGCCCGAGAAGCCAGTGTTTGGAGGATATATTGGCATGGGTGTTGTTAGGCCTGAGACAAAGTCGAAAGACCGGCAAACAGTGCCAATATATCCTCCAAACACCGGCTTCGAGGGTATTATCACTTTTATACAACGGGTTACCAACATATTCAAATAATGATTGACATATTTTCATAGAAAAATGTTATTTTGATGAATTTATTCATGCTATTTCATTCTTCCACGAGATATAGTCCCGACAGATATCTATGGTTGCTACCCAAGCCGGCTGGTCGTTCGTTCTATCGGTTCGGTTGCCAGAGACGCGACCCAGTCGTTAAGTCTTTTTGTTCTGTATCTATGGACGTGACCCAGTCATTCGTTCTAAGTGTTCCATTGCCATACTGGCTGGCAACATTCTTATCCCTTGCTTGATAGCTAGCCAACTATGGCTAACTTAGTCACGTCAAGCAGTGCAGCCAGAATAACAACAAAGTACAGTGTGGGAAAAATGTATTTGATCCCCTGCTGATTTTGTACGTTTGCCCACTGACAAAGAAATGATCAGTCTATAATTTTAATGGTAGGTTTATTTGAACACTGAGAGACAGAATAACAACAAAAAAAATCCAGAAAAACGCATGTCAAAAATGTTATAAATTGATTTGCATTTTAATGAGGGAAATAAGTATTTGACCCCCTCTCAATCAGAAAGATTTCTGGCTCCCAGGTGTCTTTTATACAGGTAACAAGCTGAGATTAGGAGCACACTCTTAAAGGGAGTGCTCCTAATCTCAGTTTGTTACCTGTATAAAATACACCTGTCCACAGAAGCAATCAATCAATCAGATTCCAAACTCTCCACCATGGCCAAGACCAAAGAGCTCTCCAAGGATGTCAGGGACAAGATTGTAGACCTACACAAGGCTGGAATGGGCTACAAGACCATCGCCAAGCAGCTTGATGAGATGGGGACAACAGTTGGTGCGATTATTCGCAAATGGAAGAAACACAAAAGAACTGTCAATCTCCCTCGGCCTGGGGCTCCATGCAAGATCTCACCTCGTGGAGTTACAATGATCATGAGAACGGTGAGGAATCAGCCCAGAACTACACGGGAGGATCTTGTCGATGGTCTCAAGGCAGCTGGGACCATAGTCACCAAGAAAACAATTGGTAACACACTACGCCGTGAAGGACTGAAATCCTGCAGCGCCCGCAAGGTCCCCCTGCTCAAGAAAGCACATATACAGGCATGTCTGAAGTTTGCCAATGAACATCTGAATGATTCAGAGGAGAACTTGGTGAAAGTGTTGTGGTCAGATGAGACCAAAATTGAGCTCTTTGGCATCAACTCAACTCGCCGTGTTTGGAGGAGGGGGAATGCTGCCTATGACACCATCCCCACTGTCAAACATGGAGGTGGAAACATTATGCTTTGGGGGTGTTTTTCTGCTAAGGGGACAGGACAACTTCACTGCATCAAAGAGACGATGGTCATCCGCTACAAGACCATGGTGCTTGCCTTTGGAGCAGTGAGGGGAACGGCACCCCTGTACCTTCAGGCTCTGATCAGTCCCTACACCCAAACGAGGACATTGCGTTCATCCACCTCTGGCCTGCTGGCTCCCCTTCCTCTGCGGAAGCACAGCTCCCCCTCAGCCCAGTCAAAACTGTTCGCTGCTCTGGCACCCCAATGGTGGAACAAGCTCCCTCACGACGCCAGGACAGCGGAGTCACTCACCACCTTCCGGAGACATTTGAAACCCCACCTCTTTAAGGAATACCTGGGATAGGCTAAAGTATTCCTTCTAACCCCCCCCCCCCCCCCCAAATTGTAAAGTGGTTATCCCACTGGCTATAGGGTGAACGCACCAATTTGTGAGTCGCTCTGGCTAAGAGCGTCTGCTAAATGACGTTAATGTGCCCTTGAGCAAGGCACTTAACCCTAATTGCTCCTGTAAGTCGCTCTGGTTAAGAGCGTCTGCTAAATGACTAAAATGTAAAAAAAAATGTAAAAATGATGGACGGGGCCATGTACCGTCAAATCTTGGGTGAGAACCTCCTTCCCTCAGCCAGGGCATTGGAAATGGGTCGTGGATGGGTATTCCAGCATGACAATGACCAAAAACACACGGCCAAGGCAACAAAGGAGTGGCTCAAGAAGAAGCACATTAAGGTCCTGGAGTGGCCTAGCCAGTCTCCAGACCTTAATCCCATAGAAAATCTGTGGAGGGAGCTGAAGGTTCGAGTTGCCAAACGTCAGCCTCGAAACCTTAATGACTTGGAGAAGATATGTAAAGAGGAGTGGGACAAAATCCCTCCTGAGATGTGTGCAAACCTGATGGCCAACTACAAGAAACTTCTGACCTCTGTGATTGCCAACAAGGGTTTTGCCACCAAGTACTAAGTCATGTTTTGCAGAGGGGTCAAATACTTATTTCCCTCATTAAAATGCAAATGAATTTATAACATTTTTGACATGCGTATTTCTGGATTTTGTTGTTGTTATTCTGTCTCTCACTGTTCAAATAAACCTACCATTAAAATTATAGACTGATCATGTCTTTGTCAGTGGGCAAAACGTACAAAATCAGCAGGGGATCAAATACCTAATTCCCTCAATGTTTAAGCTGTTTTCTAGTGACATTTATTTGGATATATCCATAAAATTGATGCCAGCTGATTCATGATTTCGACTGGCTGACAAAAGCTGTCTGCCTGTCTGTCTCGTCCCGACTCCCGACATGTTCATTACTATAGGACAGCTGAAGATCTGTGATGATAGGAGTCAGGCGCAGGAGGGTAATCACCGAACACAGAGTTTATTCCTTCGTTGACACACAAATGCGCTCAAATAGCGAACAACGAAACAGGCACAGGGGAAACTCTAATCCCTGGCAAATACACTGTAACGGTAGAATCCAATAATACATAGGCACAGGGGAAAATCTACCCTGGCAACAAAATGTATGAGTAGCTCCACCGAGCTATACTACTCTCACAACTAACAATCACCAACAAGGACAAGGGGGTAGAGGGAACACTTATATACGGACTAATGAGGGGATTAGAACCTGGTGTGTGTGATTGACAAGACAAATGTGATGATGATTGGGGCGGCAGTGGTTAGTAAGCCGGTGACGACGAACGCTGAAGCCTGCCTGAACAAGGAGGGGAGGCAGCCTCGGCCGAAGTCGTGACAGTACCCCCCCCCCCCCCTTTACGCACAGCTCCAGCAGCGTGCCGACCCTGGCCTCGTGGACGGCCAGTAGGACGCTGAGCAGGGCGAGCCGGATGGCGACGGTGGAAATCCCGCAACAGGGAGGGATCGAGGATATCCCTCACCTTGACACAGCACCGTTCCTCCGGACCGTACCCCTCCCACTCCACGAGGTACTGAAGGCCCCCCACCCAACACCTCAAATCCAGGATGGAGCGGACAGAGTATGCCGGGTCCCCCCTCGATATCCAGAGGAGGTGGAGGAACCTCCCGCACCTCAGGCCTGAGGAGAGACACATGAAACGAGGGGTTAATACGGTCATCAGGGGGAAGTAATAAACTATACGTGACCTCGTTGATTCTCCTCAGGACTTTGAATGGCCCCACAAATTGCGGGCTCAGCTTCCGGCAGGGCAGGCGGAGGGGCAGATTCCGGGTCGAGAGCCAGACCCGATCCCCCGGTACGAAGACCGGGGCCTCACTGCGGTGACGGTCAGCGTTGGCCTTCTGACGATGCACGGCGCGCTGGAGGTGAACGTGGGCAGTGTCCCACGTATCCTCCGCGCGCCGAAACCAGTCATCCACCGCAGGAGCCTCGGTCTGGCTCTGGTGCCACAGTGCCAGAACCGGTTGGTAACCTAAAACACATTGGAATGGTGTTAGGTTAGTAGAGGAGTGGCGGAGAGAGTTCTGGGCATATTCTGCCCATGGCAAGTACACCGACCACTCCCCCGGCCGGTCCTGGCAGTAGGACTGCAGCAACCTACCCACATCCTGATTTTACCCGTTCCAACTACCCATTTGATTCGGGGTGGAACCCAGAGGTCAGGCTGACCAAGACCCCCAGACGTTCCATGAACGCCTTCCAAATCTTGGACGTGAACTGGGGACCTCGGTCGGACACCGTAACCTCTGGCACCCCGTAGTGCTGAAAGACGTGAGTAAACAGGGCCTCCGCAGTCTGCAGGACCGTGGGGAGACCGGGCAGAGGAAGGATGCGGCAGGACTTGGAGAAGCGGTCCACAACGACCAGGATGGTGGTGTTACCTTGGGAGAGGGGAAGATCAGTCAGGAAATCAACACTTAGGTGAGACCATAGTCGTTGTGGAACTGGTAAAGGTTGTAACTTACCCGCTGGGAGGTGCCTAGGTGCCTTACTCTGGGCCCACACCGAGCAGGAGGAGACATACACCCTCACGTCCTTAGCCAAGGTAGGCCACCAGTACTTTCCGATCAAGCAGCGCACTGTATGACCGATACCTGGTTGACCAGAGGAGGATGACGTGTGTGCCCAGAAGATCAGACAATCACGGATAAGAGCAGGCACGTACCGCAGCCCAGCTGGACACTGTGGTGGAGATGGATCTGTGCGTAAAGCCTGCTCTATATCCGCGTCCATCGCCCATACTACCGGCGCCACAATGCAGGAATGTGTAAAATCAAACCGTGTGAAGACTAGGGCCCACCTTGCCTGGCGAGTATTCAGCCTCCTCGCTGCCCGGATGTACTCCAGGTTACGGTGGTCCGTCCAGACGAGGACAGGATGTTTTGCCCCTTCGAGCCAATGCAACAGCCAACAGCTCCCGATCACCAACGTCGTAGTTCTGCTCCGCCGGGCAAAGCTTCTTAGAGAAGAAGACACAGGGGCAGAGCTTGGGTGGTGGGCCCGAGCGTTGGGACAGGACAGCGCCTATCCCTACCTCGGACGCATCCACCTCCACTATGAACGGTAGTGATGGATCGGGGTGGGCCAGTACCGGAGCTGAGGTGAACAGACCCCGCAGTCTCCTGAAGGCCAGGTCAGCCTCAGCAGACCAGCGGAGCCGGGACGGCCCACCCTTCAACAGGGATGTAATGGGAGCTGCAACCTTGCCAAAGCCCCGGATAAACCTCTGATAGTAGTTGGCAAAGCCAAGGAAGCGCTGCACCTCCTTAACCGTTGTTGGTGTTAGCCAATTACTCACGGCTGAAATGCCATCTCCCTCCATCTCCACACCTGAGGTGGTAATGCGGTATCCGAGGAAGGAGACGGACTGCTGGAAAAACATACACTTCTCTGCCTTGGCATAAAGGTAATTTTCCAACAGTCGGGCCAGCACTTTGCGAACCAGGGACACATGCTCAGCGTGAGTAGCGGAATACACCAGGATGTCATCGATGTAGACCACTACACCGCGACCAAGCATGTCCCGAAACACCTCGTTCACAAAGGACTGGAAGACGGATGGATCATTCATCAAACCGTAGGGCATCACCAGGTATTCATAATGCCCCGTGGTTGTGCTGAATGCTGTTTTCCACTCATCCCTCTCCCGAACACGCACCAGGTTGTATGCACTCCTGAGATCTAGCTTAGTGAAGAAGCGCGCCCCATGCATTGACTCAATCACTGAAGGAATGAGGGGGAGAGGATAACTAAATCTAATCGTCTCCTTGTTCAGTGAAAGATAATCAATGCACGGGCGCAGACCGCCGTCTTTCTTCTTCACAAAGAAGAAACTCGAAGAGGCGGGTGAAGTGGAGGGACGTATATACCCCTGGCCCAGGGACTCTGAGACGTATGTTTCCATAGCCTCCGTTTCAGCCTGCGACAGGGGGTACACATGAATCCTGGGAGGTACAGCATCTACCCGAAGGTTTATTGCGCAATCCCCCCCCGATGAGGTGGTAATTTATTCGCACGCGTCTTTAAAAACACCTGCGCTAAATCAAGGTATTCGGGGGGGAATGCGCACGGTGGAGGTACCGTCTGGACTTTCCACCGTGGTTGCACCAACGGAAACATCTAGACACCTACCCTGACACTCTCGCGACCACCCCGTGAGAGCCCTCTGCGGCCTTGAGAAGGTGGGGTTGTGGAGTGCTAGCCAAGGGATACCTAATACCACAGGGAAAGCAGGAGACTCAATAATCGAAAAAATAACCTGCTCACAATGTGTCTCCTGGGTGATCATGGTGACTGGTATAATGACTTCCGTAACAAACCCGGACCCTAATGGTCGACTATCGAGTGCTCTGATGGGGAGTGGAATGGATAGGGGAACCAATGGAACGCCTTGACGGCGTGCGAATGCCATGTCCATAAAGTTCCCAGCTGCGCCTGAATCGACTAGCGCCTTACACTGGGGAACTACCATGTGATCGGGAAAGTGGATAGGTAGGGAAACAGTGCGCAGCAGAGGGCTCTGAACAAGTGTGGGTGTTCGATACCTGGGGTGACGCGTGAGTGCCCTGCCTGCTGCCTCCAGGCCCAAAAGAACGTTGGCTACGACGTGTGGTGTACTGTCCCTTCGTGCCACCAGAGTGGCACTGTCTCTGTCCTCCTCCGCTCTCTCGGCCGGCGGCTCCACCCACCTCCATCAGCTCGGGATCCGACTCATCCGGTGTGGAAACGGGCAGACCCCTACCAGGACGTCCTCTGGCTGCCAGCAGGTTGTCCAAACGAATGGCCATGTCCACCAGGTTAGCTCCCGTCGGACGTCCTCCCGCAAATGGCACCGGAAATGGTCGATCAGGGCCCGCTCGTTCCACCCGGACCCCGCTGCCAGCGTCTGAAACTCCAACGCGAAGTCCTGCACGGTCCTCGTCCCCTGCCTCAGGTGATCGAAGACCGCCCAAAAGAGGCGAGCGAACTCCCCGTAGTCCTCCAACGCGGCTCCTCCTTCGTTCCAAACCGCGTTGGCCCACTCCAGGGATTTCCCCGAGAGGCAGGAAATGAGGACGGGCACCTTCTCCAGGCATGCGCTCCTCTCCCGCTGACTCCATAGCGGGTGGGTGATTCTGTGATGAGTGTGATTAGAAGGAGTCAGGCGCAGGAGGGTAAATCACCGAATACAGAGTTTATTCCTTTGTTGACACACAAATGCGCTCAAAGAGCGATCCACGAAACAGGCACAGGGGAAACTCTAATCCCTGGCAAATACACTTTAACGGTAGAATCCAATAATACATAGGCACAGGGGGAAATCTACCCTGGCAACAAAATGTACGAGTAGCTCCACCGAGCTATACTACTCTCACAACTAACAATCACCCACAAGGACAAGGGGGCAGAGGGAACACTTATATACGGACTAATGAGGGAATTAGAACCAGGTGTGTGTGATTGACAAGACAAATGTGATGATGATTGGGGCGGCAGTGGTTAGTAAGCCAGTGACGTCGAACGCTGAAGCCTGCCCGAACAAGGAGGGGAGGCAGCCTCGGCCGAAGTCGTGACAAGATCGAATTTCAATATTGAAACAATGTTGCAAATGTCGAAGAGACAGACAGCAAGGTTTATACAAATCTCCGCTGTTGAAAACCAAATGCTAGTCTAAAAGAAGATCATGTCTAGATGCTCTTTATAGTGCAGATCAAATTTATAAATTGCCTGGCTGGGCTGATGAGACAGTGGATTGCACAGTGAGATGGAACAGAGTAAATAGGTATTTCAACGTCATAGCTTTAGCCGGTGGTAACTTGTGGAATAGACACCGGCTGGAATGCGGTTTTAACCAATCAGCATCCAGGATTAGACCCACCCGTTGTGTAATGATTGATATATCAGTGTCTCTCAGTCTTTTTGGAACAGGGACCAACATGCTCTGGTTTTCTACATTGATCACTTTAAGTGAAAGGTTCATCATGTAAGTCGATCTGAGGTACTTGAGAAGAGGCCACTGGCTCTGCCCTGAGTGTGACTCTTTGACCTAGTGTGAGAATGGCATGGCTGTTTCCATGACTCTATATGGAGTAGATGGCCACCCATAGTAATTATATTTATATGATGCCACTAGGCTTGGGCAGTATACTGCATACTGTATACCGGGGTATTTGGAAATAGCCACGGGATGGTGTTTCAATATCGTCAGTATGAGTCACTCACTGTTGTGCAGCATGCCCCAGGTGATCTAGTTACAGTCTGGAATTCACAACTAAATCTTTGCTAGCTAGATATCTTCTAACTACACTGAACAAAAATACAAACACAACATGTTAAGTGTTGGTCCCATGTTTCATGAGCTGAAATAAAAGATCCCATAAATGTTCCACACGCACAAAAAGGTTATTTCCCACTCTAAAATGTGCAGTTTTGTCACACAACACAATTCCAAGTTTTGAGGGAGCATGCAATTGTCATGCTGACTGCAGGAATGTCCACCAGAGCTGTTGCCAGAGAATGTAAGGTTAATTTCTCTACCATAAGCTGCCTATTCATTATATAAACACAAATACATTTGCATTTTATCGACAGCAATTTTAATGCGCAGCGATACCGTGACCTGAGATCCTGAGGCCCATTGTCATGCCATTAATTTGCCGCCATCACCTCATGTTTCAGCATGATAATACACAGCCCCATGTCGCAGGATCTGTACACAATATCTGGAAGCTGAAAATGTCCTAGTTCCTGCCAATATAGTTCCAACAACTTCGCACAGCCATTGAAGACGAGTGGGACAATATTCCACAGGCTACAATCAACAGCATGATCAACTCTATGCGAAGGAGATGTGTCACGCTGCATGAGGCAAATGGTGGTCACACCAGATACTGACTGGTTTTCTGATCCACGACCCATACCTTTTTTTTAAGGTATCTGTGACCAACAGATGCATATCTGTAATCCCAGTCATGTGAAATCCATAGATTAGGGCCTAATTTATTTATTGAAATTGACTTGATTTCCATAAATGAACTGTAACTCAGGAAAATCGTTGAAATTGTTGCATGTTGCATTTATATTTTTGTTCAGTGTATTACGTTAACTGTTTAAAATGTACTAAATGCTCTGCAGTTGTGATTTTCGTTTGATAATTTAGTAGCTAGCTAGTTATCTAGCTAAGTAGTTAGCTTCTTGCAAAATCAAGCTTCTCTTGGGAACAGCAGAGAATCCCCTCCTGGATCAAGAGCCTTGCTGTCTAATATTTGTTTTGTGTGTGCAGCAAACTATGAGTAGCATTTTTTTGTTACTTGTATAAATTTATGAGCTGGGATGTCTGTTCTGCAAATAATGTCAGAGACTGTATAACATGTTCTCAATGGGCTCATTAGCATTTAGCTAGAATTCGCTATGGGATGTACTTGTTAGCATTGCTAACCTTAGGATTAAAGAGGCTCAGTGGGGTTTGGAAAAAATGCCCCTTGATGGCACAATGTCGGTATGAAGATATGACAATCTGGATACTGCCCAAGCCAATCTGGATACACTCCCTGTGTGTTCCATGGTTTATGTAATTCCATAAAGCATGGCTCCGGTTGTCTCCCTATCTGTCATTCCAGGAAGTCTTCCCTCCCGTTGACTCTTCTAATCCGGAACGCTGGGATGCTTCCCGGGGAGCATGTTCAGAGGTCCCACGGGGCCCACATAAATCACAGTCCCAACCACAGGAGCCCTGGCCCTGGAGCCACTTCCTCCCCAGGCCACCGAGATCACAGCGTAATGTCACAGCATGATGATGTCAGCCTCCTGGCCCTCTGCCCCTCCTTCCTCAACCCAACTCCACCCCACCAGGCCCACCCTATACTGAGAAAGCACCCTCTCTTTTACTCTGACTCTCTCTGTTTCTCTGTCCCTCAATTTCTCTGTCTCTCTCTCCCTCTCTCTCTCTCATGGGGATGTTATTCCTGAACATTAGATCAATAAAATAAGATGAGGAGGAGGAGGAGGAGAGGGCCACGTTACAAATCACCCCACATGAAATCATCCCTCCCAGTCCCAAGGAGAAATATTGAATCTGCCATTCATTTAGGACCAAAGCATGTGCTATTTACTTTTTATTAGCAGTGATCAAACATTGAACACTTGTTAATGACCAACATCAAAACCGAGCAAAGGGTGTGACTTGTTCAAAACAACACAGACTGAGCTAAACATCTGCTGTGGTCCATGCCAAGGTTCCAGGCTGTGCTCTCTCTCTTTGCTGCTGCAGCCTCTCTCTCATGGTGATTAGACAGAGATGTTTCCATCCTTTGACAGGTTCTGATTTGTTCTGTGTTGATTTAGCTTAACGCCAGGTGCAAACAGTGTGATGGAATCTATTAGATAGACAGCAGTGTGGCTAATGAGGGCTGTCTGGGCCTGGCTGCTCACAGGTATAAATCCTAATGCAGACATAATCTATCTGTCCCATAGAGCACCGCTGTCCAAGGCACTGTGCCAGTGAGTTGGAGGCACCTGGAAATAACATTTGTGTTGCATGGCTTAATAAGATACATGTTAGGCCTGTTCATCAAAGGGTATGGACTATACCAATTCATCTCTTGGCCTTGCCCCAGTGGTAAATATTTCATATTGAGTGGCGGCAGTGGGGGATTATGGGAGAATGTGTGTCTGTTTAAATGGGAGGTCACAACCACACCACCATGGGCATCGTAAAGAAGGGAGGAGAGGAGAAAATGATAAACTGTCAAACTACAAACAAATCATGTTAAACACTGAGACAATTAATAGGATGTTTTTTAATAAGGATTCAATCAAGCCAAACATGAATGAGATCAATGCCTTGATCGAAGCAGCTCAATTGTCTTTATAGAATGTCTGCCACAACATGGTAATTGTCGGTGCCTGTGAACACACAGCTGGGAATGTCATTTACTCAATATCAAACTTTTAGCTGGTATACTGAGTTTTTTTTTTAAGACAAATGTTTGCTTTGCATGAGTGTTTTTATGTCTGGGGCTGATCTCATCATGGGGATGTTGATGTTAGACTAATTCTTTACATTTTAGTTATTTAGCAGACGGTCTTATCAAGAGTGACTGGTCCCCCGTGGGAGTCGTTGCATGGACCATGCTCTACCAACTGAACCACAGGGGACATAGGCTCATGTGGGTGTCTCGTCTCGTCTGATGTCCCAGCGCTTGACTGGCTGGCTGCTACTGAAGATCTTATTTACAGGGCTCGTGATATGGGCCATGCCAGATTGGCAACCTTGGCGTGTGCCAAACAGACTTTCTGCTTTGAACGCAAATTACTTCCCCTTAGCTGTTTTCTCTAATCAGCCATTGGCCAGGAGGCCAGAGGGAGATGGCTTCTTTATCATCTTCCTCTTAAAGGGAATGAAACAACTCCTTGTGATTAAAGAGTTGAGTTTGGTTTGCCCCTTGGGCTCTCCATGGCACCAGTTTGTCCCATGGCGGTTTGTTCTCAGAAAGCATGTTGCTTAAAGGGTCTTGAAGGGTCTTGGCACTCATGTCTGTTGTGTTCCTATAGAATAGCTAACGTTAGAATGGAGAGAGAAGATCGTCTCCCCTTCCTGTGGATTGCATCCATTCCCCCTCACTGGCCTACCACTTCTTCTCAGGTTCTCCAGCTAGGGTTCTGGATAAGCCTGGGGGTAGGGGGTGACTGGGGGCAGGCCTCATGGGGGAGCTTGATAGTAGGGCTGAGGCAGTACAGTACATTGTGGGTTCAGTACAGTGCCCTCTGCCTGTGATGGATGTGCCATTCGGACCTCTAAATAGGCATCCACATAATGATTGCACTAAATTACAAATTAGATTTCTGTCAAGCAGAACCCATTTGACTAGCTAGACCTGCCCCTCTTGCTCCCCACTCCCTCTCTCTCTCTCTCTCTCCTTACCATCACTCTCTAAATACCCTCAGTAAACCCCCACATGTCAAAATGCCTATTTTGAAGAATGTCCTGAAGTAGCTTTGACTCCTGTTTTAGAGTAGAGCTTTTGCTGACATTTATTTGGCACTCAAAAGAAAGAGATGCCACCTACTAAGACATGGTATATGACGCTTTAAAGCTTCTATATGTATCTTTTTGGGCGACCCGATCAAATTCACATAGAAATCTGCCATTCTCATTGAAAGCAAGTCTAAGAAGCGGTAGATCTGTTTTATATGCGCTATTTCTATATTTCCTGTTCTTAAGTTTCGTTTTGCGTCTTTTACTTTTGGTTTTGTACACCAGCTTCAAACAGCTGAAAATACAATATTTTTGGTTATTGAAAATATATTTCACAGTGGTTTAGATGAAACTTAGGCGAACTATATGGATTTTAGCAACCAGGAAAGGCGAAGCGATTTCTGCATATTGCACCTTTAACTGTTTACAAGCAAATATTACTGAATGGTTGCAAATAAAATGCCAGACGCAATTTAGAGATGACTGGTGAAGTACAACAAATCAGTCAGGGGTGACAGTCTTTTGCAATGAATGAATGAAGGGGGATTCAAGTAAGGCCAACAGTCTGTGTCCCTGTGCTTCCTCTTTGTAAAGCACAATGAATATGCGCCAGTCTCTCTGTCCCAGCATCCATGTAACCAGGGGGAACACTAATGATGCAGCAAGGTCACTCTTGCGTTCGACTGCATTGGGATCTGTGACAATGAACATTGTCTGGGTCAGCATGACGGCATGTCAAATCCATTCCACAGTGGCATTCTACCCACAGTAGGTTACAAAACATCCTGACCTAGGATATATGCTAGATACATTTTGCTCTTTGGGTATACGTTTGTTGTCGATTGCACTGGCCTATATCTAGGGCCCAGAGTTTTTCCTGGTAAGGTAGTTAGGCAAAACTTCTGGTCCTATTTATGCAGTATCTTTTTTGTTTGCCATTGTCTTTAGCAGTGGGTTGACCATAGAGATGATTTGTCATCTCAGGTAACCTGCAGGTGAAGCTACTTCAGACAGACCTGCTCTCCTCTGTGTTCCCTCTAGTCTCTCAGTAGTAATAAGCATCCCTTGGCATGTGCTCCTGCAGTCACTCAGGGCAAAATCTGATCCTGTCCTCATGGGGGGGGGGGGGGGGGGGGGTCGCACCTGCCACACCCGCTGCCCCGTCACAACAGCTCATTACCCAGAAGCATCCCTGGTGATTCCAGGGGCACAGGGCGGGACGGGCAGACAGGAACAGGCGCTTCGCTTTGACACGATTATCTCCGACCCAGCAGGGGAGCTCCCTTCTGGTCTGACCCACTTCTGATCTGCTGTGTGAACCTACAGTTACTTCCACTAGCCCTTCCTGCTCCACAGCCCTGAACTCACACTGTTAGACTCTCACAACCACTCAGAACACAGATGGGATGACATTGAAAATGATTAAACATAAATAAGATAGATAGATTGTACATTACAGGTAGACAACAAGACTCTGTCACTCTCAGGCCTCCAGATCAACACCCTGCAGTCCTCTGCAGCACTGCCTGAAGAGAAACTTCCCCTCAGGGCTCAGGGCCCGCTCTGCCAGGGAAGAGCCTGTAGGGAAGAGAACATGTTTTCATAGGTACTGGAGGTGAAATTCATGCTGCGCTCCAAATCACATTACAGATACTGTATGAGAGCAGTATTCATCATGTCTGACTTAGGGGGATAGATATTGATGGTATTTATGGAGCTCACATATACAGTTTGTCATACTGTGTACATGTTTCAAGCTATGAATGAGCGTGTTTGTGCATACAGTATATGCTGGAATTTTTTTATCAGATGAAATCTCAACATCCTTTTCAAAGCTTGTGTATGGTGCGATGCCAGTCTCAATTTGATGAACTGGAAAAGACAAGAATGGTCTGGAAGTCACATGAAGTAAAAAAAAAAGTATACTCTTCCGCTGGATGTAAAGGGAGGGAATACACTGTATTGTCCCATCATGTTGAAATGAAAAAGACACCCTAGCCAGACACTACTAAATCATGAGGAGGGCCATTCTCCTTTCAACATGTGTTTGATGATATTCTAGGAAGCTCTTCGTTTGTGTCTCCTCTTTCACCTTTCCATAACTGTGAACTGTGACTAATCACATTGCTCCTGTCCAGCATTCTGCTCCGATTATCCCCTACCTCAATACCACCTCACCCATTTCCCTCCTTCCCTACAAGTAAAGGCTCAGTCCTGGACATCTGATATTGAGAATAGCCTCCTTCCCCGGTACCAACAACTAAAGGAGCATGCCCTGCCCTGACTGGGTGCCGAATGAATAATGACATCATGTTTTCAGGCCTCAGTGAGTGTATGGCCGCGCTGGGGGCATGAATGTACACAGAGTGCTATTCACAATGCCGCTTCTGTCAACCTCTAAAGTACCCTGCTGAAGGACATGCTGCATGAGGAGATTGTTATTGTTTTAGTAGAACAAGCAAAAAGAAATATGTGCAGCACCCTTGCAAGGACCCCAGTAAGTGGATTTTTGCCGTGGTTGGTGACACAGGTCATGGCTGTGGCATGTGTTTCCTCCAAGCAATGTATGATGTACAGGCTCTCTTTTTCTGTGTATGTGTCCCCAGGGTCTATGTAATATGATTATTAATGACGTGTGGTGTTGTTGATGATTGTGTGTGATGGCGGTACTGTCTTTACTGGCTTATAACTGTGGTTGATGGGGATCCATTTATATGGCAGCATTGGGGTGTCACGCAGGGCCCAGCTGTGGGTCCCCATCTCATTTCTCCCCCTGCTAAGCTCAGCACATCTGTAACATCTGGTCCCCTGCTTCACATGAGCATCCCTCTCCCTACATCTGTGTGTTATGGATGCAATGCTTTTTAACGTAGGCAAGCAGAATGTGATGTCTCTTTCTCTAATCAGTGCTTTTTCCTTTTTCCCGCAGCGTATGCAGTGATTGCGAACGGCCAAGTGGAATGCCCCAAGGGTTACAAGAGGGTGAACCTGACTCATTGTCAAGGTAAGAGGAAGGAAAGATGATGTCCTGTTGTTTTGCTTGTGTTTAGTAATACCAGAGTGCATTGGTTACAAACCTTTTCTGAGTCAAGATCACTTTCGCAGTCAAAAACCAAGCTGAGATCTACCGCTCAGAATTGTTTTTAAACATGAAGTAACATTAACCTAATAAAAACAGTTCTGTAGGAATGAGGTTTGTGCAGTAGGTCTAATACATTATCACAGCATATTGGCTATATGCCTGGCCTGCCAATATTGTTCTTCTCAGACCATATTATATTTCAAAACTCAAGCTTTGATAACCAAATAGATTAGTTGGTGTAGCACTTCCGAGGCACCGCTGAGCATAAATTAAAATAATTTGCAAGTAATTTGCTTTTTATTTTACTGGACTGATGGTACCTGCATCTGATTGTCATGGTGCTTTCAAGACAACTGGGAACTCAGGGAAAAAATGAGGTCAAATCATGACGTCAGTGATCTTCAGGACGGAAAGTCGGAGCTCTAGAAAGATGCCAGCGTTTCCGAGTTGGAATTCCGAGTTGGATGACCATCAAAACTATTTTTCTCAGTCGGATCTCGTTTATTTTTTGGGAGTTCCAAGATGTCTTGAACACACTGATGTCGGAAGTCGGAGATTTCCGAGTTACCAGTTCCCAGTTGTTTTGAACATGGCATTAGTCTCAGCAGAGGGAGGGAGAGAGCAGCAGAGGGTCCGCCTCTCACGGTCCCTACTCTCTCCTTTCTTTCCTCCGGTGAGACTGACCAGAGAGAGAAGACACCATCTTCCACCTGATGGCCAAACTCAAGTCGCACCTGCACAAATTCATGTTGTTACTATGACCAGAGAAAGTTAAATATTTCTCAATATTAAAATAGACACGACGAGCTGCTAATAATAAAAAAAAATGCAGGCCTATCGATACACTGGCTACTCATTCATTGCAGCTGCAGTGCGAGTGGAAGTAGGGAGAAGCGCGTTTTTATGTTTTTTAATAGTGTTGAATAAAAACAGTGTTGACAGTGCTGAATAAAAACGTAGATATGAACTCACTCATAAAAACAGCAGCTCTTTGCTGTATTTTTTGACAGTCTCTCTCTGGTCATTGTTTTAAAAGTTATGACATTTCTTGTAGGCTAGTATCAAACTTTGCTGTGGCCCGGGGTCGTGGAAGCTGTAGGCATGGTGATTTGAGCTATCCGATTGATTTAGCCACAGATATTTCATTAACTTTTTTCTCATGATGTATTCTAACATAGCTGCCTGTACCATGTCTGCATTGAATTCAAATTACCCAAGTCAACCCTCACACATGCATTGTGTTGCAACCACACTCCATCAAATCCTATACTCAACTTTATGTCTTTGTTGTGAGAAAAACAGTTTACAGGGACTGCCCATACATTACCATGCTGAACAAGCCCCCAGGGCCTGTATAAAAGTATTCCTGTCTGTATGTCTTGCCCACTGGGAACAGGGTCATGAATACAATAAGCTGTGGCCTGGGTCAGAGGTCAGCTGCCAATAAGCCCCAGGAGGGAGTGGTGTTTTTAATTGCTCTGTGGAGGTCTGTATGGGGAGTGCTATACGGCAGGCTGTGATTATGGTTAATGTGTGGAGGTTTGTATGGGGAGCGCTATACGGCAGGCTGTGATTATGGTTGTGTGTTTCCCAGTGGTTTATGGGGAGCTGTGTATCCCAAAGCCTTTTGTTAAACTTCTGTTACAGTTTGTTGCTCAACGCTCCAACAAAATCTGTCGGCGGGGGAATGAAGGCATGTCTTCCAGCTCACCCATCCACCTGTGTGTGAAAACAAACTGTGCCTGTTCGTCCCTGAGCGCGTTACATGCCTCACTCCTCACGGCCTTTTAGTGAGCCCTGTCAGCCTGCTGACTGTTATATAAGAGATAACCACACACAGCATCCACAGTGTACTGTATAGACTGTAGATAACTACAGAGAGAGAGATAATCACTTATAAGATGTTGTTAAATCATATTGGAATTCAAAGATAAGATCAATAGGTCTATTTTGGCCTGAACAGATATGTATTACCTCATACATCAGTGATTTCTAGATGTTTCTCATGCTTTTCTCCCAATATAGTTTCTGTCAGTGCTGATGACTATCAGTTAGATTTATGATCAGCTCTTCCACTCCCAACTTCCCAACACTTGATTCATGGTTTTGTATTCTGGATGGCATCGCATACTGAATCTTATGGAGTGCACCGTCATAAATTGATCATTTAAAAAATAATCACTAACCAATGTTAAATGTGGTTATGTAGATGTTATAATGGTTTGAAATGGACAAAAATTACACACATTAATGATGCATCATCATCACCAGTCAAATTCAACTGGTTTTCTGAGCTGCATGGCAAATACTGTAGTAGAGTGTATTGTGGATATTGCGGGTTTATCTAATTTGTGGTGATAGAGTTATAAAGTTATTAAGCTGGGAAATTATTTTCCATTCCTCACATATATGAAAAGGGAAAAAAAAAGCTGTGGACAAGGACACTTTATGCTGTCCAAAATGGTGTCAAGAGTTGCCAGCAAACACAGTATTTAATCTAACTTTGATTCAGCTTGCTTTTTCTGATCACTTCAAGATGTTCTCCCTTCACAGTCCCTCATTTTTTGAGGTTGAAAAAACAAACTGACAGATATTGACTATTTACTGGCTCGCTTCAAAGTCTTATAACCCATTCTGCTGGAGCTCCATTCCCGAAGATTATTTTGAATTTCAGCCTTCAGAACAACTGCCAAGGAGGCAAAAATAAGATTTTTCTGGGATTCTGTCATTATAATCAAGCAGGTGTACTACTTGCCAAAGCATGAATCCTCACTTTGAGCTCCCTGCTCTATATTTCACAGGAGGAGAAAGAGTCTTGTGTCATATTCTGTGTCTGAGCACAGACGTGATTCACCCTGCTCTCTCTTTCTACTCCTGCCGCTGGGCTTGGTGGCGTACAGTGGGCCTCGCGTCACAGATAGGATGGCCCCTCAGAAACACAAGCTGTTTTGTGACCTCAGTGATCAGGACAGGCACGTATCTTCCAAACACTCCAGAAAAACACTCTTGAGAAACTGGTTCAGTTGGTGTCACCTACAGTGGGGAAAAAAAGTATTTAGTCAGCCACCAATTGTGCAAGTTCTCCCACTTAAAAAGATGAGAGAGGCCTGTAATTTTCATCATAGGTACACGTCAACTATGACAGACAAATTGAGAAGAAAAAAAATCCAGAAAATCACATTGTAGGATTTTTTATGAATTTATTTGCAAATTATGGTGGAAAA